TTTTCTAAACACCTCCCAAAAAAGGAATTCCACCTCCCAAAGGCTTCTGAATCATGTGGTCAGGTTAGTCACAGCAACAACCCTACTACTGTTAGCAATTTCTGTGTTACTCTACTTTAGAAGACTGAAGGTGCTGGAGTCCTTTGTCCTCACCTGATCACAGCAGCCACTGATGCACACACTCAAGAAGAATCAAGCTTGTGTGTACATCGGCTTTCACCTTCTTCCAACTTTTGTTCCACTGGTGCTCCCAGCAATATAGGACTGTGCTGCTCTCATGTGGGGGCTCCCCCCTCAGTTTGCTGTCCCACATATCAATGATTTCTGGAAATACCCTCATCAACACACATGTCTCTTAGTCTTAGGTTTCTATTTCTCTCTCTCTTTTGATACCAGGGATATACTTAAATACTGAACCACATCCCCACTCCACCCCCAACACCTTTTTTTTTTTTTTTTTGAGATAGGGCCTCACTAAATTGCTTAGGACTTTGCCAAATTGCTTAAGCTGGCTTTGAACTTGCAAAATGTCCTCCTTCCTCATCATCTTGAGCCACTGGGATTATAGGTATGTGTCACCATTTCAGCTCTTATGTTTTTCTTATTCCATGTTGAAAATACAGATTAACCCATCACAGCTTCATATTTGAGAATAATTTCAGATATTCAGATAGTAGAGAGAGTTCCTTCATACATCTCACTCAGCTTTCTCCATTATAAACAGCATACATTACCATGGAACATTTGTTAAAACCAAGAAACGTCCATTGGAACAGTTCTATTCATTAAACCACAGATGTTATATGGATTTCACCAGTTCTCCTATTAACATCCTCTTCCTGTTCCAAGATCTAATCTAGAACACCACATTGCATTTAGCATTCATATTTCTTTAGTCTCTTCTTATCTGTGACAGTTAATCAGTCTTGTTTTTCATAGCCTTGAAATTCCTGAAGAGTACTGAACAATGGTCCCTTACCTTGTTCCCAGCCTGCGTTGGTCTGCTGTTTTCTCATGCTTAGACTATTTTTTTAATTGAGGTTTTGGAAAAGAATATCACAAATATTCAGTAAGCTGATCTCATAAGATCATATTGGGGGTACATGAAATGCACTTGAAATCACTGGTAGTGTCAATCTTCATTATCTGTTGATTGAGGTACATTTTGCAGATTATTGTTGTTACTTTAGGTTACTTAGGTCATATTCTTTTTTTCATCACACCTTTTAGTGAAGTTACATTCTACCTTTGCAATATAAGTATTTTTATTTGCCTCAGTCAACATGCCAGGTAGAATTTCCTTGTTAATACTGGTGTGTGAGCATGTGTTTGTGTGTGTGTGTGTGTGTGTGTGTGTGTGTGTGTGTGTTTGCATGCATTAAAGTATGCTATTCATAATGTAAAGTTTTATGTATCTAAACTACAGTACCATACAGAGTAGTTCCTTCAGTCTAAAAGCATCCTATGCACACCTTTGTAACAAGTCATTCCTCACTTGGAAAATCACTGATAAACACTCATTGTTTTTCATCTATAATTTTTCTTTTGGTAGAATGAGTGGAATTATATACTGTGTAGTCTTTTGGGTCTGACTTATTTCCTTTACATTTGAATTTTATCTATATCACTGTATGAATTAACGTTCTAAGTGTTTTGTCATTTGTCTTTGAAATTCAGATGTTCAAAATTAAAAAAAAAGTTTCATGTAAAAAAAACAAAACAAACAAACAAACAAAAAAAACAAGCTCCCAGGTATATATCTATAAAAAAGATAAAAGATTTCAGACCTTTGCTTTTTCCCTTAAAATTAAAATAAGTTATTCTTATTTCTAATCATAAAACTAGATAAATAGAGAGAACACATTGCCAACAGCCGTAGCATCCAGAGATGATCACCAATTTCTTCTAATTGTGTGTGTATATACTCATGTGCTCAGACCATAACACATTTGGAGCTTCAAAGTCTAAAGCAGGAATGAGTCATGTTTGAGAAACAGAAAGAAAGCCAGGTTTGAGGAAAGGATGATATTAAGAAAGAGGTGGGTATAATACAAAGTGCACTTGGAGATAGAGGTCAGCCCTGTAGAGCAGGGGTTCTTTAGATTTGGGGTGTGTCAAAATCACTAAGAGCACTAGTTAAAATACACTGCAGTCCTGCACCCCCACCTCCACCTCCACAGAGTTTCTAATTGAGACCTAGAGTGGGGCTTGAGAATCTGCATGTTTAGCAACTCTCTTGTTCCCGTTGATGCTGCTGGTCCAGGGTCACGCCCTGAGAACTCCTACTGGGCCTGCTACACTAAAATGAGGAGTCTTTTTTTTTTTCATTGCAAATATATGAGAATACACTGGTTAATTTTAAGGACAGAATATTTGTTTTGAATTTTAAATAAATCACAATGGCTGCAAAGACTGGATAAGAGGGGACAAGATGGCAAATGGGAAAGTGGAAGCAGACTATTAGTACATGTGAGAAATGACAATGCCTTGAATTAGGGAAGTAGAGACTGAGATGGGGATGGATTTAGGAAAATTCAGGAAAAGCAGACAGAATTTGAAACAGGATGGGTATTATGGCAAGAGAAGGAAAAACAAAAGGAACATCTAGATAACTGACGTGATAGCCTCTATGAAAGACTTGATAGGGACGTGAGTTACACGTTCTATTTCATATACAATTGGAAATACCAAGTATTCAGGTTAATTATACAAAAATCTGAAAATCCAAGGAAGAAAAATAATATTGAAATCACTGATGCATAAATGGTAATTTTAATCTTAGAGCCTACATAGGTCATTAGTATAGATCAGTGGTTCTCAAACAAGGGTGATTTTGCATGCACCACATAGGACATCTGGCAATATTTAGAGACATTTTTTATCTTGATTGGTAGGTGGGGGTTCAGGAAAACTACTGGCATCTATTGACTAGTGGTTAGGGATGTTGACAAATATCATAAACAGGCTAGAATGCTGTATGTATATTTTTGATATCCCAAACAAGAWAATTTATTGATATCAAAAATACTAAGGTTGAAATAGTACCAGATAAAACACAATTTGGTGGCATAGATAGAAAAGTCGTCTTGTATGAAGGGAGTAAAGGAGCATAAGCTCTTTCTTTGATATGCAATTGTGTAGAAAATACACATTGGATACACTTACACATCCAATTTAGAAAGTGCTTCAGTTAATATCTTAAGAATTACTTATAATGTAATATTTAAGGTGGCTGTGGTGAAATACTGGAAAGTAGTTACAATAAGGAAATAAGGTGAATTAATGTAATAATAGTTTAAATAAAAAACTGATTCCTCAATCCATAGGGAAGATAGGTAATCTCTTGTGGGTGGTCAGTCCACTGGTGTGGTCAACTCGTCACTCAGCTACCTCTGTCTCAGGAGGTAGAGACGCATGGTCAACAACAGACACCAGGAACTGGTGAGAGTGCTGGCAGGTAACAACCTCGACCTCCAGGCAAGCTCCTTTAATGTGGAAGTGATTACAATTGATATAGAATGCATTTTCCAATCATACATAAGCAAGCAGGTTATACAACATCTAGAAACCAATCAACTTATGATTAATGTTACCACACTATGAGGCAGCTCTAAATATTGCTACGTGGTGGAAAGCAGTCTGGAAAGATCTTTGTCCCTAGGGGAGGGGGCCTTAAGAGTTGGAGGTTTCATGCCCTGAAGCACCTAACTCTCAGTTTCCTGGCCTTGTAGCCTGGCAATGCTGACCTCAAGCACTGAAGATGTGGTTTCACTGACWGCTCRCTAGAGCAGAGCGCCCCATCCTGCAGGTGTTCCTGTCAGGCCCATATGAGCATAGGTTTTCCTAGCACTCTGTTCTGCTCATAGCTGCTAGCTGCAAACTGAAAGTTATTCCAACAATCTCTGATACTTCTCTGTTAGATTATGCTACATATATGCTTTATTGAATRACTAAATATATGAAATGTCAGCATATCAATGACTGAAGAGTAGAGCATAACTCCTAGGTATTAACAAATATAAGATCAAATAATGGAAGAGGAAATCTGACACTGGAAGTAGAATAATTCTAAGAGTGTAAGAGAGGTAGAAGAGCAAAAGAAATTGAAATGAATAGAAATTCTGACTTCAAGGATAACATTTTCTAATATATGGAATGCTCCTAGGATCTTTCAACATCTGCCATCCTGAAAACTATCTAGCACAACCAGAAATTTTCAATTAAGATTTCAGAAGGGTTTGTTCTCTGAAAATTATCTATAAAAACGGTCTTTAGATTTGGATAYGTTAGATTCACACTGCAGAAGACAGCCTGACAGCTCACTGCTTAGAATACATCTACTTTGTAAAAAAACAGATCACCTTGCACAGAGAGACATCATGTATCCACCTAAAAGCAATATTTAAGGCCAGCAGATACTGAGTAGAGTGGGAGTACACAGGGACTATGTAAATATATTCTAGACATGAAAAGGTGATTATAGGGAAAAAATTAACTTCATGCTAAAAGATATGGAGGAAGATCTTCCCACAGGRAAAAGAGAAGAGGTAAGAGAAATAAATATACTTCAGAGATCTCTGTAATTAGGCTAGTCACAATGAACATAAAGAGCAGATAATGTCACATATAAAGATGATCCTTTTAATCAATGAGCAGACAATGTGTCAGTGAGAATTACCTTTCACCAGGAAGAACAAGTTGGACAGCACTGCTCGCCTTCAGTGGCCAAGGTACATGTGTGTGAGAATGACTGAGTTGGTGACTGTGAGCTTGTATGTCCCCAATATGCACTCAAAGCTTCTCAGGATACCTCCTGTGTTATAGACCACTATGCTTAATTGCTTAGATCTATGAAGTAGGATTGCATAAAATTACAAATATATAATGTRTGTAATTTATGGACAGAAAGTTCACACACTGCTTATGTGTGAACCTTACCTCAGAATCAAATTAAGTTCACATTGGGCCACCCTGAACGCACAGGGCTGACCATCACTTACCCTGCCCAGTTCCTTATCTTCAAGGGCTAGGACCCCAGTGCTTTCTGTGAAGAGTTTTACTTTGACCACAGGCCGAGGATGGGTAGTGGTGAAATCTCCTTGAGTTCCCCATCTGCAAAGCAGTAAAAGAGATTTTCTTTAAAACATAGCATTAATTTTTCCCAGATAATGTGCCTCCATAAAAGGTACACTAAGCAATAGAAAATCTTTTGCAGCTCAATGAGATTTTTTTATCTTTGCTTTTGTTTCTGACAGATGGTGCCATCAAGAAGGAAAATGACAATAAGCTTTAGAGCTTGTAATAGTTATTTCAGCTATYTAAAAAATTAGCATGTTGCACTAAAAATCATGGTGTGCCTATAAGCATTTAGGTAAAAGCAAAGCATTATAGATGTAACTAGGGAAATATATCATTTTATTAATTCAAATGTAAATTATAACCCCCTTTTTATGGATGTCTGGGGGAAATTGCTAAGGGTGTTTCATATAAAAGGTGGTTGTTCAAAAAACTATTCTTACATACTGAGGACTTTGCTCCTCCTACTTTCGGGAAACCTTCCCTAAACATTATATATTTTTAAGTGGGGTAATTATCTAAAGCCTATTACTTTATATGTCTTTTTATAGCTCCTGTCAAAAAGAAATATGCATCATAACGAACGTGAGTGGTTTTCAGTTAATTTCCCAGTACATTCTCTTAGGAATGGAATAAGTCTGTCGACATCTGGCTTTTCAAATCATCATAACAAAATAACATGTTTTCTTGGCTTATCTTTTAATTAATAGCATCTTGTCTTTATCACACACCAATTCATTCTAGCTTATTGACAAACCTAACTGGCACCTGCTTGATATTAAAAAAAATCTTATCAATATTTCTCATAATTCTGAGATGTCACAGGCAATGAGGCTTGACAGAGCACCAAGAAAAAAAAAATACCACAGAAGAGGAAAAAGAAAATGGAGACTTAACAAAATAAAGATTTATGGTAAAAATAAAATACATTTWAAAAAAAGTAATTTATCACTATCATGGAGCTGTCTATATTTTATTTTATAAGCATTATTTGGAAAGTTTGTGAAATCTAGAAAGTTGGGGGGGAAAGCATGATAATAAGTGAATTATTATGATTATGTGCTTGTCTCCTACAATAACATTTATAATGCTGTAATATGTGTACAGTAAAGGAAAGGCCATTTCAAGGACTAAAGAAATTAGCATCTATATGTGGTCAGTTGAAACCAAAATCAAATGCCAGAGGGAAGAGAGAGATTCAGTTAGAATGAAGCAGCACTTTAATTTCCATTTTAGACTTCTAGAAAGAGGTTAGCAAAGAAATCTTTTTTGCCATTTCATTGGATTAAGGTGGTCTGAAATAGAGGAGAGGTAAAATAGAAATAAAAATAGACTCAGAATGAAAATAAAGAAGCAGAAAAAAATTCTCTCTTTACTATGTTGAAGCTTAAACCTTAAATACAATCAGCTCTGGTAAAGATTCCCATGACACCCCCTACTTTATTTGTCATTTTTTATTGCGTGGTTAAATTTGCAAGGCTACCCTTGGAGACAGTTCCCTATAATTGGAATCAAAGGTTCCTGATAGTCTTGTAGGCATCTATTAGTCTTCCACAGAATTTGCTGATCTTAAAAAATTCTATTTATAAACATATATGAAATTGATTTTTCTCCTTTAATTTCAGAAACCTTTATAAGTATGTATATTGCTTTCCATGATAGTTTGAAATTCTGAACATACTCCACTATGCAATTCTCCAAAGAGAAAAATATTGATTGACCCCATTAACCATCATGAAGGGACCTTGTGAGTTTTCTTTTAACCTTGTTCTCCTGCCGTTCTACATGAAAGGAAATATGTGGCTAATTCACACTTGCTAAACAGCACAAAACAAATAATGCACATGTAAAAATCTGTGCTCGCTCATGATCCCATGAATGTCTAGAAAATCAGCTTTTACCTTTAATCCTTCACAGACAAGCAACTTTTAAAAACTAATCCATAAAATACCACAGTAGAACATTGCTCATTTATTCATTAAAAAATATTATATTGAAAATGATATCATAATAAATAAATAAATAATATCTACTTTAAAAGTGCCTACAAAATAAGATATAGTTAAAAAAATAATAGGGGCTGGGGATGTGGCTTAAGCCTGGCATGCGTGCAGCCCGGGTTCGATTCTCAGCACCACATACAAAACAAAGATGTTGTGTCCGCCGAAAACTAAAAAATAAATATTAAAATTCTCTCTCTCTCCCCCTCTCTCACTCTCTCTTTAAAAAAATATTTAAAAAAAAAATAATAATAAATACAACAACTCCACCACTCAAGTTATGATGGGGAATGTACCAGACTATTATAAGAGCCCTTTATGTGCTGTGTTGGTCACATGTTCTCTTCTATTTCCCTTACACTACTCTGAAGTAGCTGGGATTCTGAATTTTTATTAGTCATTCTGCTGAAAGGAAATATTTTTTAGCATTTCACCTCTAAGTGTGATCACTGCTGCAGGTTTTTGGTAGATGATCTTTAATAGGTTAAAAAAAAAACCTTCTTTATTACACATACACATATAAATTAATCAGAATAAACAGATGTATGCCTATAGAAATCATATATATATCATATATTCTATATGATACACAGACAATATGAATACTATATCTAATAGGTACATCATATAATGTTACAAATGATACAWAGAGTAGATATATAATGTGTGTGTGTGTGCATATATGCAATCATGGGCTATATAACTTTTAGGTCAACAACAGACATCATATAGGATGCTGGTCCCATATAGCTGAGGCGTACAGGCAATGCCATCTAGGTTTGTGTATGTAACTCTATAATGAAACTGCCTAATAGTAGATTTCTCAGAATATATCCCACAACTCAGCAACATGGTACTGTACATACACACACAAACACATACATTTGGGGGGCAGTGTGTGGTCCGAAAACAGTGATTACTTTTCAACTATTAGATGTGTGTAAAATTAGAGAAATAACACTATCCTAGGGATGGTAATAAGGGACAGACATGCTTGGTAAAGTAGACTAGGTGCTGAATTAATACATTTTAGGATAAGTGAGCATTCACTAGAAAACAAAGAGTTAGTTGAAATATGTAAGAAGGTGGTTGTAATCTAGACCCTGGAAATGAATTTGAGATATCCATTCCCAAAACCAGTATGGAAATTAAGGCATAGTCTGATTGGTAATCCAGGAGAATATTAGGGGCCCTGTAGATAATCTGTGAGAATTAACTGACCCAGGAAGGCCTGGGCTGCTGAGTCATGGACAGGGAGTGCTAGCAGCCAGCTTCCATCAGGTGAGGAAGGCAAAAATAAGGTGCTTGCAGGCAGCGAGAAGCTGAGGTTAGGATATCCACAGATCCAGATTATAACAAGCCGGGGGGAACTCGACGTCACTAACTTTTAACAAAATGTGCAAATAAAGGGGTCCATGAATATGAATATGGTAGCACTCAACAGACAGAAGCATTTTGATAATTTGATAATTTCTTCTATGAAAAATAAGCTAAAAATATGTGCAACTAGAAAATACTTATGAATTCTCAAATGAATTAAAAACTCAAGTCCCTCCATCCCCCTCAAAAAGGAAGGACAAAAGATAACAGGCCTACTTTTAATATTCACTGAGATATTTTCTTGATTCCTACCTAATTGGCATGTTTAAATACTTTCAGAAATCAATACCAGTTATTATCTTCCTACTATTTCCTCAGTATTAAGTGATGAAAGAATGCATTACCCCTGCTGTCAACTGCTTTACTCAAAATACATTGCCTTTCTCTACTTGTATGAATGTATTATTTATGAGGATTCAGACTTCCAATGTAAATCTTCAGATGAATAAAATATCTACAAAGCACCTTTGCAAAGACAGCAGGACTTCCTAACTATGAAAACACAGAGTAGTTCATATACCAACTGAAATAACTGACATTAATTATGAATTTCCTATTAAATAAAGCATACTGAAAATTTGTTATCAGAAGCAAAAATATACATGCTTGCCTTTTCATCCATTTCTAGGAATGTACCCTAGTACCCTAGCTATTTCTAGGAATGTACCCTAACCAAATATTTGTAAGTACTGAAAAGAGTATAAGCAGAAACATACTCACTATAACATAACAGGAAAAAAAATAAGCAAACTAAATTTCTACTATGAGAAAAATGATTATGTAAATTATGGGTAGATGATGGAATAGTCTGCTGCCATTTATAATGGTGGTTACAGAGATGATATAAAATCACTCAGGATATGAAGTTTAGACAACAAAAGAATACAAAACTTACTATTCACTATTTATTAATTTTAAAAAATCTGGGGGGCTTGTATGTAAAGGACAATACCCTAGTGCCAGAAACCAAAATCCCTATTCTCTTGGAATTTATTTTCTAACAGATGGCAGATAATACATAATTTCATTATTATATACTAAACTTCCTAACCCTGGCCTTCACTCTTAATGGCAAGATACCTCACGTGGTCTCCTAGTAGCTACAGAACAAGATGTATAACTGGGACCTACAGGAGTTTCAAAAACGACTAGCATTAGTTTAAAATATGTTGAAAATCATAAACAGTAAGACAGTTATGTTCAAACAACTCAGAATTCTTTAACTCAAAATTCATATTATGAATATATAATACACTCATGATTAGAGAAGCTAAGTATTTAAAGGCAGGTTCAATCTACATTAGTATTCCCGATCTATGATCAGCACTACAGGATTAAATAAGTATCTACAGCTCCAAAAGTTATCTGATCTGAAATTTTTTAGTTAACCCCTGTTTTTGAATTTTTAAATGTATAGATTAAAAATATTAGGTGGTCAATATAGTCAATATTATTTATAAAAGTCTGATTTTGACATCCTATTAAATTGTCTATCCTTTTTTTTTAAATTTTTTTAAGAGAGAGTGAGAGAGGAGAGAGAGAGTGAGAGAGAGAGAGAGAGAGAGAGAGAGAGAGAATTTTTTAATATTTATTTTTTAGTTCTCGGCGGACACAACATCTTTGTTGGTATGTGGTGCTGAGGATCGAACCCGGGCC